ACTTCTAAGTAATTCTTGGGTTGAAAAACTCCTAATAAAAATTAGAAAATATCTAGAGCAGAATATTAAAATTACTCTGCATATGAGCTGAGGTTACTAGTAGAACACCTGCCTAGCATGCAGGAGGCCCTGGGTTCCAGCCCCAGCACCTAAAAAAAAAAAAAAAAAAAAAGAGTACTATGCATAAAGTCCTTTGCACCCAGAGCACTAAAAGTGGAAGTGAGGATGATAAAGATGAAGCAATAGTCTGGGAGTGGGGTTATCTGTAGGACAAACTTGCCAGATGGCTGAGGCTGAATGGGGAGGGGTAAAGACCAAAGGAAATGTATCTGGGGGTAACAATGATTTGGGGATGGGGGGATCCAAGGATGAAGCACAAACAACCCCATTATTTGGTGGTTTTTCTAATTCCATTTCTCTGATGAGGGCTACTGAGATTGCTAATGGCGATCATTTAAGTCCCCCATTGAAGTGGCAGAGCCAGGATTTAAATCCAGATTGGCCCTCTTGATTTTTATGCTGCCCCTGAAGGTTCAGCAGAGGGAGGCAGGAGAAACTCTTTGGTTAACACCAAATTAACCTTAGATTAAGAGTTTTAGTCTGTGAAATAGTCTGCCAGTGGCATGTGGTCACCTTTCTCACTCTGGAGTGTGTGGCTGAGTTGAGGGCTTTGGAGCACAGCTGTCACCTTCATTGATCTATCGATCCATCCAGAGCCCTGCCAAAATGCAGTCCTATATCTTTCAATATTTAGCAATATATATATATTTTTTACAGTACTGGAAGCTGAACTCAGGGCCTCCCCTGTAATAGGAAACTACCCTATCACTGAGCTACATTCCTAGTCCTTTTTCAATTTTATTTATTTATTTTTGTTTTATGTTTTTTTAAATTATTTTTTTAGTTGTAGTTGGACACAATACCTTTATTTTACTTATTTATTTTTATGTGGGTTCGAACCCAGGGCCTCACACGTGATAGGCAAGCGCTGCTCTATAGTTGAGCCACAACCTCAGCCCTTAAATTTTATTTTGAGACAGTGTCTCACTAAGTTATTAGGCTGTCCCTGCACTTGTGATCTTCCTGCTTCAACCTCCTGAATAGCTTGGATTAAAGGTGTGCACCACACATGTGGCCTTAAGCAAATACTTCTAGAGACTGTCCTAGAGATTCAGGGATTGAAGAGACACAGTTCTTACCTTGGAGAAACCCATAGTCCAAAGAGACAGGTCATGTAACCTGGACTTTCAAAGAGGCCTCACCTAAGATCAAAGGCCTATTATTATCCCGTTTGGGAGGGTGTGGGTAATCTTGTTCATTGTTGGGGATACAAATTGGTGTAAACTTTTAGATGGCAATTCTGTGACTGCCTATCAAAAATTTAAGAACACTTGACCTTTGATCCAGTAATGTCATATTTATACATTTATCTTATAGATATACACATAAGGTTTTTTTTTTTTTTTTTTTTTTTTAAACCGGGGATTGAACCCAGGGGCACTTAATCACTGAGCCACATTCCCAGCCCTTTTTATATTTTATTTAGAGACAGGGTCTTGCTGTGTTGTTGAGGCTGGTTTTGAACTTGTGATCCTCCTGCCTAAGCCTCCCAAACCTCTGGGATTACAAGCAGGCACTACTGCTCCCAGTCAGATATACACATAAGTGCAAACAAATAAATATATATATATACACCAAAATGTTTCCTGCAGGCAGCACTGTTTCTACCAGCAGGGGAATAGTAAAATAAGTTATGACAGATTCCTGTGATGGAGGACTATGTACAGGCAGGTACGGTACAGTAAGTAAAAATAGCAAGGTGCTGCATGGTGTGAAGTGTGTGCTACTATTTCTGTCAACAACCCCCCCCCCCAACACACACGTGACTTGTATGTCCCCAAAGTATCTGGAAAGATACATTAGCACTGTTATCTTTTTATTTTTTTAAGTAGAGGCACTTACAGAATAATAGTGAAGGGAAGAAGGGAGGTGACTCTCAGGGAAATCTGAGCTTTGAGTGTCCCCAGCAATTGCACAATCCCTCCATCAGGTATAACAAAATGAAATGTCACCCCTGCCTGATTTCACTCATTGCGGAAAGTCTTGACCTGTTTTGGCTGTCATACCAACTGTTCCCAGAAGGAGGCAGCACAGACCCACCAAAGCATTGGTTGCAAACTTGACCATCAAGCCTCCCATGATTGGAGAGATACTTTATGCCCAGCCAAGCACATTTATTTATTTTATTTTTATTTTTTTAATATTTATTTTTTAGTTTTCGGCGGACACAACATCTTTGTTTTTTGGGTGTGGTGCTGAGGATCGAACCCAGTCTGCATGCATGCCAGGCAAGCCTGCTACAGCTTGAGCTACATCCCCAGCCCCAATAAAGAATAGTCTTTTTTTTTTTTTTTTTTTGGTGTTACTGGGGATTGAACCGAGGGTCTTGTGCATAGGCAGCAAGCACTCTACCAACTGAGCTACATCCCCAGCCCCCAAGCACATTTAATAGGTTAAAACTGTTATATTTTCTCTATTATTATTATTATTATTATTATTATTATTATTTGGTAACTCCTGGTTCTGATCAACATGAGAGAGAAAGACTCAGGCTTGCTGGAATGATAATTTTCAGCATAAGTGGTTTTACTTAATCTAGCCTTATTTTTGCCAGGCTTTGGGTAACAGATGGTAAGCAATGACCTGAGGACCCCGGGGATTGAAGACCTAGACTAGTGGTGGTGCATTACGGTCTTTCTGGGTGCTCAGCTGTAGGGCACACTCATATATCTTCTCTGCCTTCCTCAAAGAGGTAGTTATTTTTTTAATATTTATTTTTCAATTATAGTTGGACACAATAATTTTATCTATCTATCTATCTATCTATCTATTATTTATTTATTTATATGTGGTGCTGAGGATCGAACCCAGGGCCTCCCACGTGCTAGGCAAGCGCTCTACCGCTGAGCCTCAAAGAAGTAGTTCTGGGCAAGAGGAAGCATGGGCACCTCAACCCACAGACTGCCTTGAAGTAGTCATTCTCCCAGATACCTGTGGAGTCTGTCCCTTGCTAGGCTGTGAGCAGTAGGGACTCTTCTTTTTGGTCACAGAATCCCAAGGATCCTAAACACAGTACTGGGCTGGGCACACAGTTGGTACTATGGAAAATTTGTTGATGAATTGAAATGGCCACTGAGGAAACAGGAGCTAAATTCTTAAAAAAAAAAAAAAAAAAAAAAAAGAAAAAGAGGAAAAAAGAGAAGTCCTTAATCTCAAGGACAAGGCCTCAAGGGTAAGGTTTATCATCTGTTTCAGAATGGAAGAGATGGCAACCGGCAAGCAATGGGTCACCTTCCCAGCAGGCTCGGCTCAAGGATAATATTGCTGTGACCCACCTTGGGGGTCCCTGGCTAGGACATGACAACTCAACAACCTGGGGTGCTGGTCACCTTGGCTGAAGAAAGGCTTAAATTAGATCAGTGTGGGAGAAGGGATCAGCTCATCCCAGGGTCTTCCTCAAGATTTGATGATTTCCCAGTTCCTGATGAAACTCTTGTCAGTGGTTTGAGGGCAGAAGGAGGAGGAAACTATTAAGGAAGGGATCACATATAGCACTGGCCTTGCCTGGAGAAAGTTCAGGGCTCATTCAGTGGGCACTCCCTCTCCAAACCCTGGTCGTGTAGGGTGGGGCCAATGGGGAGCCCCACAAATTAAATGGGAACAGAGAGAAGCAATTGAAAGAGTCTTAGTTTCATGCTGGAGATTGAGCCCCAGTCCTGAGGGTCCACCCCTTCATACTCTCCCATCCTAGATAAGAGGATCAGTGGGGGACCAGGGCAGCAACCCCAAGACAGGGTAGATTTTGGAGGTGGATAGGGAGGAGGCCTGTTTCAGCCCTTTCTTTGCTGTGTGTCCTTGGAAGAGTCACTAACYATTACGAGCTTAGTGTCCCCATCTCTAAAACGAGGACATCAATACATACCTTTGATAGGATGAATGTGAAGAGCTTGGAAGTATTTCTGAAATTAGCAGACATCAGAGATTATTATTCTCAAAGTCGAGAGGCCATCCTAGATTCTTGGTGGTGACAGCGACAAGATATTTTCCCCCTCCTCTGCGGGTGCCTGCTCTTTTTCCAGCCTGGCAGCTGTCTTAATCCTCTATTCCTCAACACCCTGCTTTTCCTTGGCACTGTCTTGGTGGTCCCCAGTTTCTCCAGCCTGTTCTTTTCCATGGATTCCCCAGTTCTAAAACCCCTGGGGATGCCCGCACAGGCACACAGTAGAAGTGGGACAGGTGATGAGGGTCTCGGCTGCTGTGGTCGGTGTCCCCACCGTTTGGGGGCTTCTCTTTGCAGATGGTTCCCTCTGGTCCTCAGCTCATATCTAGACTAATAGAGGAGGATAGATACAGAGGTGGGGGGCCTGGAAGGGGGTTTCCACCTTCTCTGTTGGGGACCCAAGAGGGGAGCGCAACCCTCGCTCCCAACGTCGCATCACCACAGATCCCCCAATCCGCGCTCGCATTTGTTGACACCATTCCACCCGGTGGTCTACCCTCTCCAGCTCCAGGCCACGATCCCCCTCACCCAGCCAGGGCCAATCCCCCACGCTCCYGGGGAGCCGAGCGATGCGGTTCTAGGACCCGGAGGCGCCACCGAGCGCGCCGCCGCCTCGGCCTCGCCTTGGTTGCCTGCGGCTTCGGCAGGTGAAGCGACGCCCGCCGCCGCCTCCACGGCAGGTGAAGCGGCCGGCAGCCCCCTCCCCGCCACGCCATGGCTGCGGAGGACCCCCGGCCGGCGCCCGGTTCCCGCCCCCTCCCTCCAGCCCGCCCCCCTGGGGCTGGGTGCGCGGCGGCGGCGGCGGACTGCGGTTTGCGCGCACCGGGAGCGACAGCAGAAGTTCGAAAATCGCCGAGGGGGGAGCCCGCGCCGCAGCTTCCTGCCCCCGGCCCAGCCCTCTGGCCCTGGCGGCCTGCAGCCAGACTTCCTCCCCCCACCCTGCAGCTCGCCGCCGCGCTCCCTCGGACGGGGCCACCCCGATGGGACGCCGCGCCCCGACCCCTGTGCGCCGCTGAGCCAAGCGCCCGCGTCGCCGCGAGCTGCTGACCCTCGCCACCTGGGCCGGGAGCCCCGTCCCGGTCCCCTGGAAAGCTGGATTTCCGAGGCTGGAGGCGCCTAGCCGACTGGGTGGGGACCACCATGGGCAACGCGGCCGGCAGCGCAGAGCAGCCCGCGGGCCCTGCCGCGCCGTCCCCGAAGCAGCCGGCCGCCCCCAAGCAGCCGATGCCGGCGGCCGGGGAGCTGGAGGAGAGGTTCAACCGGGTCCTGGTGAGTGTGACCCGCTGCGCGCAGGGCGCGGGCGAGGGGCGGCAGGGGCTCGCCACGCGTCCCCGCCCCCGGGGGTTCAGGTGCCGCTTGGAGATCCCCCGCCCAGCGGCTGCCCCCTCCAGGGATGGCAGTGACAGTGGCTTCTTTCAGAGTGACTTAGCACTCCCCCAAAAACTTTCTTCTGCATTCGCCAGTCTTTCTCCCTAGACAACCCTCATGCTCCCCGATCTAAAGGTCCTTAAAATGTCCTGTGAGGAAGATGGGAGCGCAGCGCAGGGGGCCCCCAGGCACTCCCTTCCCCACTGCTCGCAGGCCCAGCCACTGGGTGCGGGTCTCCAGCATTTGCCCTTCTGTGTCTCCGGGTCAAAGATGGAAGGGGTTACAATTTAACCTTCTGGAAGCCGCTGACCTAGAGCAAGTGTTTGGTGTGTTCAGGTGCCTGGGCTGCTGAGTGGGTTGTCAGATCATGCAGAGGGGGGTGTCTGTATTTCTCACTTTCCCGGTATGCCTGGGCAGGTCTCCGGCATCCCCTCCTAGCTACTGAAAGGAGTACATTAGGAAGGGCGGGGTCAGGATGGGTTGGACACTGACTTGGGGTGGAGCAAAAGTCAGAAGCCCCCTTCCACTGTCACCTGCCTGGGGAATTGGTGTGGGGACGCTGGAGCCTAGCCCACTGGGGAGGGACTCATCAACTCAGGCTGAGCCTGGAGAGGTCAAAATATGTCTGGTGCTGTGGGGACTCCATAGAAGTCAGGGGTCTTTAAGACTGGTGGGCAGAAGTAGGGAGAGGGCAGGGCCACTTGTTCTCACTTCCCCTTCCATACCTCAGCCCTCTTCTCTGCTCCTTTCTCTAATTGCCTGGTGGCCTGTCTGCTGTCAACTGTCCCTTGCTGGATACTTTGTGACAGGAGAATAAGATTGGGCTGTTTCCCAGAGGCACTTCCCAGTCTGGGCAGGCTGGCACTGCAGGTCTGAGGGTGGGGGGCTCAAGGCAGGCACAAGGAGCAGAGTAGTGCTGGCTCAGTGCTTGTCCCCACCCGGTCCTAGACATTATTCCTCTCTCTGTCTAGTCATTAGGCCCTACTTGCTAGATCATCTCCAGGGCTAGATCCCTCCTAAGGGTTCCTGAGAGTCACATGCTGCCCCTCCCAGGAGAAGGTTAGGAGGGATCTGGAGGAACTCTGGGGTGGGGTGCCGTCTATCCTTGTGAAGGCACCTTGCTTGAAGGGGAAGGGGAGGGACTTTGATGGACACCTCACACCACACTAACCCCAGACTTTCCCCATCTCTCCACCTGTCCCTACTTCCCACCTCCACAGAACAAGGCAAAGCTAAGCTGAGCTGAGCAGATGGGGGAGGGGCACGTGGAGACACAGTCTCTGGATCCATCAGTGGTGGATCCCTGAACTCCCACTCTGAACTCCCCAGATGGTGGGGCAATGTGTGTCTGTAGGTGGGGGTGGGGCAGGCTTCAGGCCTGAGGTCCAGGCTCCAGGCTGCTCTCTGTTATTCACACTAATGGGGGGAGGAGCCATGGGAGTGAATAATTCAGACCAATGGAAAACCCAAAAGTCAAGTGGTGATGTTCTGATGTAGGTATAGGACTTGATTGCCCTGCTTAGATTTGTGACTGTAATTGACTGGTTGAGCCTGACATAAAATGTCACTGCACACACCCCCACCCCGACCTTGGCCCCCTGCTCTCCTGCTAGTACCAGGGTATGGAAGTGGGGAGGCCCAGTGATCTCAGAGGGTATCCTGGCGAAGAAAGAGTTGGTGCTGGGGAGAAATCTAAGGCAGCAGCACTCATTGGGGGTCCCACTCCTCCCTGACCCCCGGAACCCCAGTGTGTTTACACCTTCTTCTTGGGGTGGGTCAACCCATGCCTTGTCCTGTTGTGGGCAGAATGAACCCAACCTCAGGTCACTTGGCTAAGAACCTGGTTCTTCTTACTTTCTGTGAACTGGGGCATGAACTCCACCCTGGGGTGACAGCCTTGATGTCTGCCTGTGCTGCCCAGGGTAGAGGCTTTGGGTGAACCCATGGGTCTGGCATTGGTTGTTTCAAGTGGTTCCCATCTGACCACCACCCCTGGGACCAGAGCTGAGTCCTGTTGTTAGTTGATGTTCAAGGGAAGAAACTTAGATTACTGGGGGCCACCACCCTCAGGGATCCTCCAATCTTGATGGGAGAAGGTACCTTACCTTGGCTCTAGTCACCTGGCCTCAGGGAACCTCTTTCTTTTGCTTCAGCTTGGCCCCTTGTCTGTCCCTGGTGGTTAATAGGATCCCAGCACCCCTAACTTTTCCTTCTCTCTTAATAGTGAGGCTCCTAGATGATAGGTACTCTCACCAAGGCCTAGAGCCAGGCAGAGGTTACAAGCAGGCTTTTTCCTATGCAAGGGTGAACAGAGGGGCACAACCTTTCCAAGAAGGCTGTATGAGAGAAGACTGCCCCTGCTTAAAATGCTGATGGGGAGAGAGCGGGTTGAGCCAGGGTTTCTGGCTGCTGCCTTAGCAACCGTGGAGGAGCGATGGCTGCCCAGCCACATGGGCCTGCTGCGATGGTGGGAACACCAGCCAGCCAGGCTCCGAGCTCTCGCCTCTCCTACGCCCAAGCCCAAGGCTGGGTGTCTTCCAGCCCTCGTGCCTTCTCCTTTGAGGCAAGTAGGGTGACAGATCTGGATGACAAGGCATCCTTTACAGGCCTGCCAGAGTGGCATGTGTACAGGACACCCCTGATCTGTCTGGGCAGAGAGGAGCCTGTGGCCTTGGGGTAAAGGGATAAGGGAAGGAGCCTGGGATGATGTCCCAAGGCTGAGAATGATGCTGGCATCCAAGAGGGGACTGAGCCATTGGAGAGGAATTTGCCCCATGAGGGCCTATCACCTGGGGTGCTCAGACTGGTGTCCAGGGACATGGTCACTTGATCAGGTAGTGTGGGGCACTGAGCCCAGCTGCAGGCAGGGCAAGGTTCCTTGGAGTCCTGCCACCAGGATGGGCCCTTTTCCCTGTGGGCTGGTGGTGAGGAGCAGGAGTGTATGTCTCTAGTCTGATTGAGGTGTGCATCCTTGGCCAGTTCCCTCCAGGGGGTGGGCAGAGGAAGTTTGAGGGCATGTAGCTCAGACCCTGTGCTTCCCACCTCTGGGGTGTCTTCCACAGAAGATCTTAATGAGGTGTGGCCCTGTGGTCAGATTTTGGGCTGGGCAGAGACTGTGGGTGACATTCCCAGGCAGGGCTGGCATATGCTGACCCTGGAAACCCAGGGATGTGGTGGGCATGATTCACAGTGACATCTGGAGCCTTTGGCAAAGAGCTGGGTGAGATGGGCAGGAACAGGTGAGGCTGTTCTTGGTACCACCTCTGCATTTTTTTTTTTTCCCTTTGGGAATACAGAATTCTAGAAGGCGACTTGGATATCCCTGCCTTTGAGGGAGCAGGGGTTACTCAGGAGAAAGGCAGGGAAGGTTTCTGGGTACTGGGGTCATGAAGTTTAAGGGCTGAATTTTTTCTTTACTCCTCACTAAGCTGCGTGACCTTGGACAAGTTACTTAATTTCCCTAAGCTTCAGTTTTCCTTATGTGTGTAAAAAGACAATGTTAAAGGTATCTGCCCACCTGCTAGGATTTTTGAGGAGATCCAGTCAAGTGCTCAGCACCACGCCTGGCATGGAGCAAGTGTTAATAACTGCTCTTCACTGTGAGGAAGTGAAGCTGGCCTGGTCCTCTCCACCTTGGGGCTCTTCTCCGTGAAGGAGCCCAGACCCTGATTCCCCTGTCCCGTCTCCCTCACCAAGGGCACCCATGGGTGTCAGGCGTTCCCGAGGAGCCCCCAGATCTCTAGCCATCACAGGCCAGGCTGCCTCCCTGCCATTATGCAGGTCAGCAACGGCAAGGCCCATACTGAAAACTGCCTGGTGGCCGGAAACCACGAGAGGGAGGCCACCTCTCCTGGAGGGTGGGGCAGCGGTGGGGCTAACGGTAGAAGTGTGCACAGGAGGAGGGGGTGGGGAGGCCTCCACTTCCCCTGACAGAGGGCGTGCTGAGGGGGGGTTCCCCAGTGAGTAAGAGCACAGTGTGGGTAACAACAGGAAGTGCAGAGCGCTGGGTGGCAGGAAGTGCTGCTGGCTGTTCCTGGTTCCTCAGATGGGGGGACTGGGGCCATGTTGTCTTCAGAAGACCCCTCGGGGCCAGGATCCACACTTCTCATTGTCCCCACGGCCCTTTTTTCCTAAGGAAACCAAGTCTCTTAACCAGCCTGTCTTCTAGAGGTCACCTTGAACAAACCATTGAGCTTCTCCGTGCCTCAGTTTCCCATTTGTAAAATGGGGATGCTGATGGGGTCTACTTTGCAGCTTGTGGCTGAGGTCTAAACGAGTTCATAGATGTAAAGCACGTAAGATGGCACCTGGCCCAGAGGAAGTGTTTCAGGAGTATTATTATTGTCACCACCATCATCGCTATGGTTATTCTTCTGCCAGCCTGGGTCATGTGGGCAGGGCCGAGTGTCCTGGTTCTCATGCTCCTTGCCTTTTACCTGCCCTGGGTACCCTTGAGCTCAGGTGGGGGAAGCTGTTAGCTTTTGGGGTTCTTAGCACCTAATTCAGGGCAGGTCATCCATGGCCTCTCTAAGCCTAGAATTCTTTTTTTTTTTTGGGGGGGGGATGTACTGGAGATTGAACTCAGAGGCATTCAACAACTGAGCCACATCCCCAGCCCTGTTTTTTGTAATTTATTGAGAGACAAGGTCTCACTGAGTTGCTTAGCACCTCACCATTGCTGAGGCTGGATTTGAATTCACGATCCTCCTGTCTCAGCCTCCTGAGCCGCTGGAATCACAGGCGTGCGCCACCACACCCTGCTAAGCCTAAGAGTCTTGTAAGAGTTCCAGAAATTCTATACTGGGATTTTAAGGAGTAGATGCTATTGATTGTTTCTGCAGATGCTTCGAGAGCTTTGAAGCCAAAATAGAGGTGATGGGCTAGATAGGGACTGGGAACTGGGGACAGGCCCAGATTCTGGGCCCTCTGGGCTGAGGAACCCCTGTGGAGCTGGCCTGACACTGGGATTGGTGGGTGTCCAAGTTCAGGGGCATCTTGGGGTTTAAAGGGCAGAGGTACTAGGAGGCCCTTGGGTTGGGATACAGACTCTGCTCAAATTGAAAGCGAAACTGTAGGGTGTGGTCAGTGTCCAGATGTGGCCCGAGCCCTTCAGTCTCCTGGGACAATGCTTTAGAAGTCAATACTCGTGGGGCGGTGTCTGGGGTGGGAGGCTCCAAGCATGAGCCTGCAGGGGCTGGTCTTGGGTGAGCAGAGAGTGGGGTTGCTCTCTGGTAGGTGGTAGGGACACGGAGGGAGGACAGTGGTTCCCACACAGTCTCATAGCAAGATTCAGCTTCTTTTCTTGATCAAGGGAAAAGAAGAAATAAGTCCCATCTCCCTCGTCATCAGGTCCAGGGCACTGGGAAAGGGTCTGAGGACCAGTTCATGTTTGACCTTGCCCCTTGGAGACACGCCTGTCTCATCTGTATGTTTCCACAAACTTCTATTCACCCTATTATGCTCTACCTTGGGGTCCCCTGTGGACTCCCCCAACCAACCCTATGTCCCTACATCTGCAAGATTCCTTTTCCCCATATTGGGTCGCTGAAGAACATTATTATGTTGAACCAGAACTTGGCACTCAGCAGTCCCAGGAGCTCTGTGTGGTGGGAGTGTGCTCATTTTACGGAGGCAGGAGCCGAGGCTCAAGGAGGCCAAGAAGCTATAGGGTTGGTTTTCTGGAACGAAGCTCCACTTGCTCCACACCACAATTGCCCCTTTTCTGTCCTCCTCTCAGGTGCCCCTCACACACACACCTGGACTGCCTGTCCCTTCCTGTCCTACTCGAGCAACTTCAGCTTTCTTCTTGTCCCCCCAGCCTCCATCCACAATGCTGCCTCCTTTGCTTAGGGCCCAGGTCTGGGGCTCTGATCCTGTTTTCAAGGTGGCCTCACCTCACCCTAAGTGAGTGGCATCTGCTGGCCCCTCTCCCACTCCCTGGGTACTCGTCTCTTCGTCTCTTCGGTGGGCACTGTCACAGGCGGGGAGCAGCTGCTAATTAGTGCTCAGCGCTGTCAGAGCTATTTCTGATTTCTGAGCCTAATTTTAGCACGTCTGGCAGGCTGGCACGTGGGCCTGGGGCCTGAGGACCGCCAGGTGGGGAAGGAGCAAAGGGGCGCCCTGCCTTCCACCAAAGTGGGGACAGGTGTGCCAGGCCCCAGCAGAGACCTCCCCTCCCCAGTAATAACCCTGGGCCGCCCTTGGGGAGGAGACCAGCACTGTGGCTCAGTCTTCCTGGCTCCCCTCTTACTGGCATCCTGACCTTGGGCCGGTCACTCCACTAATCTGTGCTCGTACCTGTGAGATGGGCATGATGGTACCAACAGTGGCAGAGAAGATAGAAGGCCGTTGGCAACATTCCGGGTGCTGAGTGGTACCTGGCACTATACACACTCAGGAGAAGCTGGCTACTGTGACTGTTGGAGTTGAGATTATGACTGGACCTGCCATGGTGCCATTCCAGAGCCAAACAGGTCTCAAGGGCAGGTGAGGCCCAGGAAGTCCCATGTCAGGAAGTGGCCATCTCTTCTGAGGCTCAGATGCTAGTGCTCAGCCACCTACCCCTGCATTTCCCTCTTCTGTGCCACTGCTCCAGGGTCCTGGCATTGCCTGTCACCTCCTGCTTCCTCCTCTCCCCTCAGCCATGAGGCAAGGCATCTCAGCCCCGCCCTGCCCTTTGTCTCTGTGGGGTGGATGTGGCTTAGAGAGAGACAGAGCAAGGATGGCCTGGTCACCCTCCCCCCAGGCAGAGTAGGTCCTCCAGCTTGAAAGCCCCTTCCGCAGGGGTCTGGACACAGCAGGAGCTGTCTTAGGCCCTGGCCTGATGGCAGGGAGGACAGAAGTTGGGACTATGGCGGATTCCTCAATCCAGGCTCACTTTAGCAGTGGGGGACAGGGATGACGTACCCCACTTCCAGCTGGCTGGGAGTCTAGTGGGTGGGCAGTTTCACCTCTCAAGTGAGGCCTTGGCCGGAAAGGTTAGGCAACTGGGACTGAGAACACCCAGCTTCCTGTTATCTGAGGATGACTCAAGGCAGTGATTTTTTGGGGTGAAGTCTAGCCAGAGCCCTAGACTTAGGCCCAGCGTCCAAGAGAGGAAGCTGGCTGAGGAGCCTTGGGTGGGTGTGGTCCCTGCTCTGCTCCAGCTGTAGCCTCTCCTCAGAACCCTGTGACTGAGAGTGTGTAGCCCAAACCACGGAGCTGGGGACAGGAGCCCTACAGACTCTGGCTGGGGCTCTCAGGGGGCTCCCACATCACCAGTGGAGACCCTGGCTGAACTGGAAATTCCGCGAGGGCCAGAACTGTCTGACGCACAGTCTGTCAATAAACCTGGGGTTTTCCCTATTGAGGTGAACTGGCCCTGTCTTCTGAGTCTATTAGGGAGACTCACCATGTCCTTGGGTCCAGGGAGTCCCTGTGGCTGGCAACACTGGGTTGATTCCACAGCCCTGGGCTGGGCTCTACGCTTGCCCTGTGGTGACAGAAAAACTGTGGCTAAGGAAGAGGACCCATACAGAGTTCTGCTGACCTTTCTTAGCTCCTGAGGGGAGTCCCAGCTGGGCCACCAGCATCACAGGCCTAGTGTACTAGCTGTTCCACCCAGTTCCTGTGACTGAGTGACCTTCCCTGTTCAAATCCCCCCACCTCTGCATCCATGATGCACCTGCCTGGAACTCCAAGCTTGGATGACATGGCTGCCCTCAGCTCTCTTCCTTCTTGGAGGGGAAGAGGGAGATACAGAGTAGGATGAGGCTTTTGAGTGCCTTGGGCCTAGGCTTTGCTCATATCCACAGGCCACACCTAAGTGTGGCTGGAGATGACTCCCCTGTTAGCTTCCCACCTGGATGGGAGGAGAGATGGGGAAACTAGAGCCCAGACGTGTCTGAGGTTCAGCGAGTGCATACATCTGCCTCATGCCAATTTTTTTAGGGAGCTGAGGTGAGGGGATGACAGAGCCCAGGCAGACTTGGATTCAAATAGTGGGTCCCTTTTGGGTTGTTGGGCCAGAAGGTGCTCTGTTCTCTGGGCATTGGTTTTCTCACTGGATAACATTGTTTATCTCCCAGGTGAGAGGATGACATATCTTCTAGTGGGTTCCCTGAAAATACCATATCCTCCCCTTCCCTATCATTTTGGGGCCATAGGCTCAGGGTCTTATTTTTTCTCCCCTCCTCAGAACTGTATGAACTTACCCCCGGACAAGGTCCAGCTGCTGAGCCAGTATGACAACGAGAAGAAGTGGGAGCTCATCTGTGACCAGGTGGGTGTCAGGTTGGTTCTGTTACCCATCTGTCCTGGCATTGGGGCATCCTGTCTTGACCAGGCTGATGCTGGTAAGAGGCGGGTACTACCACACTGCCCATGGGGCAAAGCCCATACCTAGAGGCTGGGTTGGCATTTGGGTAGGGTGCTGGGGGTCTCTCTAGGACTCTGAGTTCCCCTCCCTTTGACACCAGTCTCCTTAGAGACCTTGTGAGTCATGAGCAAGAGCTGATAGGAGCTGGGCCAGGGCACTGGCCAGGCAGCTGGGCTGGTTCACTGTCCTGCTGAGCTTCCTAAACAGCCTCCCTCCCCCTCCCTCTTTTCTTCTTCTTCTTCTTTTTTTTTTTTTTTTTTTTAATTGGTACTGGGGATTGAACCCAGAGGCACTTACCCACTGGGCCACATCCCCAGTTTTTTTTTTTTTTTGAATTTTATTTAGAGACAGGGTGTCTCTGAGTTGTTTAGGGCCTCACTCAGTTGCTGAGGCTGGCTTTGAACTCGCAATCTTCCTGCCTCAGCTTCCTGAGCCACTGGAATTAGAGGTGTGAGCCACCAAGCCCAGCCTTGAGCAGCCTCCCTTGACCCTTCCGACCTGCTTGGGCTGGAGAAGGGAGGTGTCCACCTGGGTCCTACATCTTCATTGAGCCCATTAGAGGGGGCAGGAAGGGACAGGACTCCCTGTCCTTCTGTTCCTTCACATTCAGAGGAGATATAGTCAAGGAGCCACCACGGCCAGCCAGTTTCGACCTGGGTCCCTCAGAGCTTGGTCCAGGCCCTGGGCTTGCCACCCTCACAGCCCACTGGGCTGCTGTGGACGAGGAGGACCCCTCCTAGTTCTGGGTAGGGCGGGGCTTGGCTGCTGGGGATCCTATAAGGTGGAGGCAGGAGCAACGTTCCAGCGGAGGCTGTGGAGGCTGGGCGTGGGGAGCTGGGGAGCCAGCGCCTCCCCGGGGGCCCACAGAGCCTCCTTCTAATGGACTGGGATGAAATGAGTTGGCCAGGCATCCATCTAGGGCAAGGCTGGGCTGTGGCAGAGGGTGGAGGCCTCTAGAGGCTGTGGAGCTGTGAGTGTGTGTGGGTGTGTGTGTGKGGGGGGGCGGGGAGGTGTGGGGGGGTTGAAGGGGTCCTGCTGAAGAGGCTGGGCCTGGCATCTCAGAGGTAGGGACTCAAAGGCTGGAGAAGTAGAGGGTTATGGGGGGTGGCTGGGCACATCCAAGGGGTCTGAGATGGGAGGGATGGGAGCCCTTGCGGACGGGGGTCTCTGCATGGTTCCTCTGTGGGAGTCTCCCCGTTGTCCCAGGGCTGGGGTGGCTGAGTTAGGAGTTGCTTTGTGTAACACAGAAGAGGAGTCCCCACAAGGGCACCTACCAACACAGGGGGACAGGAGTCCTGGGGGAGAGGCCTCAGCTTGCCAGGGTCCCCCTACCACACCCTGCCTGTACTCCCAGCTCTCGTCCAGGGAGGGCAGGGATGGTGCCGCCTACTGCTCAGACTGAATCCCCCCTGACGCTGGGCCTACCCCAGGATGGACCCTTTACATTCTACCCACGGAAACCAGTGGGTGGAAGAGGACTGTGGCCTGGGGAGGCCACAGCAGGAGGGGCAGGCCAGGCCTGGGGCTAGATGGCTTGGGTTTGTGCCATTGGTCCTTCAGAGACATCTTAAGACAGCCTGCGCCCCAGGTTAGAGCAGAGGATGGGACACTGGGACGAGGACAGGTCATTTGCCCCGGGGCAGCTCTGACTGGCTCCCTGTGTCCGCATCCATCTCCTCAGGAGCGGTTTCAAGTCAAGAACCCCCCTGCCGCTTACATCCAGAAGTTGAAGAGTTACCTGGATACCGGTGGGGTCAGCAGAAAGGTAGCAGCTGATTGGATGTCCAACCTGGGGGTATATGTCTCCCCTTTTATTCTCTCCTTCCCCCTTGCACCTTCCAGGCTCTGGGCAGCTGGCACAGCCATGTGAATCAACTTGTCTGTGGGTTCGTGTCAGTGTCAGTGTGTGTGTGTGTGTGTGTGTGTGTGTGTGTGTGTGTGTGTACCCCATGTGTCCATGCATGGGTGTGTGCGCACCCTATGTCTATGTCCCCGGGGTGGTGTGTGTGGATGTGCATGTTTAAATGAGTATGTGCCCTGTGTGCTTATATAGGAATGTGTGTGTGTCTATGGGGAGGTGTGTGTGTGTGTATGTGTATGTGCATTCTGCGTCTGTGTTTGTATCTTGTGTGCACCCTGTGCGTCTGTGCATGGGGAGTGCATGCATCCTGTGAGTGTTTATTTTGCTGGGCAGGTGTGTGGAGGTGGTGGGGGAGGCAGAGCGTGAAAGGCCCTGTGTTGGGGGTGGGGAGGGTGGGCATGCTGGCCGCTGCCTCAGGGCTTGATGGCCTGTGGGAAACTGTGCTCCACCCACCACACTCCTTGTTCTTGGCTCTCAGTTCAAGAGGCGAGTTCAGGAGTCCACACAGGTTCTGCGGGAGCTGGAGACCTCCCTAAGGACAAACCACATTGGGTGAGCAAGGGCCTAGGTCCCCTCGGGTCTAGGAGGGCTTCCTCTGACTCCTTCGTAGGCTGTACCTGTAGACCACCTCCTAGTGGGTGTCCAGCGACTCCTCCTTTGCTCCTGCCCATCCTCAGTCGGCAGCTTGGTGCCTGGCTGGACCATGGCACTGCCTGAGCCCCCAGTACCCCCTGGCATCACTGGGTCTCCTGAGGTTGGATGTGTTGGTGTCTTCCTGGGGCAAGGCCATCCAAGGGCTGTGCCTGTTGTACAACTCGAGCAGGACACTTCCTGGATGGGACTCAGGGAGCCTGTGCCCTACAGGTGGGTGCAGGAGTTTCTCAACGAGGAAAACCGTGGCCTGGATGTGCTCCTGGAATACCTGGCCTTTGCCCAGTGCTCTGTCACGTAAGCCCCCAACCCCACCCTCATGCCACTCTTTGGAGCCTTGATCCATGTGTCCCTCAGCCTCAGCCCACACCTCTGGCCAGTTCCAGTCAGCATAGTTGGAGCCCCCTGGGACCCAGTACTTGGCCCTGCACACCCCTTCCTGAAGGCATGCCCATTCAAGGAGGGATGTCCCCTCACTTCTTGCTGTGCTCAGCCCAGGGCCAAGAACACAGCCTCCTGCTCTTGTCCCAGTTTTTCCTGCAGGTCTGGCCCACCTGGCAGTTTCCTCCATCCCCTTCTTAAGTGTCCCCTGCAGTGCTGGCCTCCGAGCCCCTTGCATCGTATCTCCAGGTATGACATGGAAAGCACAGATAACGGCGCCTCCAACTCAGAGAAGAGCAAACCCCTGGAGCAGTCTGTGGAAGATCTTAGCAAGGGGCCACCCTCATCAGTGCCCAAAAGTCGCCACTTGACCATCAAGTATGTGGTCCCTAAGACAGGGTGGCAGGAGAATGAAGAAGTCACCCCCATGCTGTCACATCTAGACATCTCTATACATGGCCCTGGGGGCTGGGGAGGGGTAACCAAGCATGGGGGACCAGAGTCAGGGCCTCACATAGCACTCAGGACACTAATATGTTAAGGGATGAGCACCTGGGTGGGTCTGGGATGAGGAGGAGCCTTCTGGGGTGGTAGGACCTCTCTTGTACCCATCTAATCCCCTGTTTTCTCCTATGCGGCCTCCAGGTGCCCCCCTTCTCCCCGGTACGTAGCCACCTGGGAGCCGGTGCTTGCCTGGCCAGCTCCCTGGGGGGTGGGTGGGTTGGATGGGGCATTCAGCTGAYATCCTTGGGTTCAGCTACTGTGGTAGGTCTCCTTATCTAAATATAGGGCATCCAGCTGGGAGGTGGGAGGAGGAAGGAAATGACCCTGGAGCATCATGTGGAACCCAGTTTCCAACTTTGGGTTTAGGGAACCAACTGCATATTAACCCCCAAACTCTCACAATATTTCTCTGTTCCTTCATTCCCTTATTCGTTCAACAAACATTTTAAAGCACTTACTATGTATTAGGTATGTGGCAGGTACCCATGTGTCAGATCACCCTCCTTTGGGGGTTCCATAATTTAGTGGGGAACAATTCAGTGTGACAGGTTGTCACAGAGATGTGGCAACTTTAAGAAGGGAGGTGGTGGCGGGCTGGGGATGTGGCTCAAGCGGTAGCGCGCTGGCCTGGCATGCGTGGGGCGCTGGGTTCGATCCTCAGCACCACATAAAAATAAAAAAGATGTTGTGTCCACCAAAAACTAAAAATAAATTAAAAAAAAAAAAAAAGAAGGGAGGTGGCCACGACCTGGGGCATTAGCAGGGCTACCCAGAAAGGATGATGCTGGAACTATGTCTTATAGATGGACAGAGGCTGTATGGGCAACAATAGGGGCAAGGAAGGGCAGTCCAGGGGGAAGGAACAGCAAAGACTTAAGCATATTTGTGTCATGACGTAAACGGGTGATGTAGCAAGCAGAGGCGAGGACTCTGGAGGAGGTGGGGCCTCTTAGTGTTGCTGGAAATGTGATAGAATTACCAAGAGGACTGACGTGGAAGTCTCCATTGGCAGTTCTACAAAAATGAAAACATCACACTTTTTTTTTTTTTTTTTTTTTGGCCAAGAATAATTGAGCACGCACGCACATGTAGTCCTTACTAGGTGCCAAGAGCTGTTCCGAGCTCTTTTCATAGTCCCAGCCACCCTGTCAAGAAGGTGCTATTATTGCCATACCTATTTTACAACTGAGGAAAGTGGGGTACAGGGAGATTAAGTAACTTGTCTAGTACGTGGTGACCTGGAATGTTCTTGAACCACAGCATTCCGCATTCACAATCTGCCTCTCAAGATGGAGATGAGCCCAAGTGGCTACGAGCGCCACCTCGTGGAAAGTCTTCTCATGGCTTCTTCCAAGCCGAATCTGTCTGGCCCCTCTATCAGTTCTCTCCACCCCAAACACAGCAACTCTTCTTAGTGCTAAGTCCCTGTAAGGGTCTTTGCTTCCTCGACCCACCCTCCCTGCCTGAGGACTGAGGAGGCCCACCTGCCCTCAGCTGGGCTCTTTGGATAGGTAGATGGGAGGYGGTGGCTTAAGGTTCCAAATATGCCCTCTCTTACTCCAGCGATCATCTTATTGGTGGGGGGGGGAGGGGAGCAGGAAGTTGGGTCTCGGAGCTCTGACCTGTTGTCTTCTGCACCCCACCCAGGATGACCCCTGCCCACAGCAGGAAGGCCTTACGGAATTCCCGTATCGTCAGCCAGAAGGATGATGTCCACGTCTGTATCATGTGCCTGCGCGCCATCATGAACTACCAGGTTGGCTGGTGGCCATGGGACTAGGGGAGCTGGGGAGAGGGGGCTGTCTTCACTGGGGGTTGTGCAAATTGCTSATATTTGGAGACCAAATGTCCTTCTTCCTGCCCCCCCACCAGGGAACCCTGGGGATCTGGGCTGGTAGGGGATCTTGAGGCTGATGAGTCTTGAGGGGATGCCCACATTTTTGCTCCCCCCTTGTCAGATCCCCTTGAGTGCTCCTGGGTGTGGCTGAGGCACACATGGGGACCAAGCGGAACTGAATAGCGAGGTCCATGGGGAGAGCATTTGGCCGTGTTTGGAGGAACCTGCGGGTGAAGCTTGTCTCTCTTATTTCTCAGCCCTTAAGGACTCAGCATGTCCAAGGTGGCTGACACTGGCTTTGGAAAAGACAAATTAAAAGAGGGACAGTTTTAGGATCTGGCTGCTGCTAAGGAGATGTGGTCCAGATATGAAAAAAAAAAAAAACTTTCTAAGCTGAGGGCATTAGAGATCAGAAAGGCACGGCATCAAATATGTAGGAGGTGCTGACGGTCCTGAGGGCCTTCCCCGAGGCACTGACYTCTCTTCTCTCCCCAGTCTGGCTTTAGCCTTGTTATGAACCACCCGGCCTGTGTGAATGAGATTGCTCTGAGTCTCAACAATAAGAACCCCCGGTAAGGTTCACGTCCCTAATCTGTCTCCACATGTAGACTCTTCTACTTAACCCCTTGCCTACTCTGTCCCCCAGTTCTCAGGACTGCTGCCCAGACTCATCCCACCTCTGCCGTCAATRCCCCTGTCCTCCTCTAGCCAGGGCCATGCCCACCCTGGCTAYGGGCACTGCTGGTTCCTGAGGGACAACTTGTCCACTCTTTGCCCAGAACCAAGGCCCTGGTGCTGGARCTGCTTGCGGCTGTGTGCCTGGTGCGGGGAGGACATGATATCATCCTTGCAGCCTTTGACAATTTCAAGGAGGTACCGGAGTCCCCATCCAAACACATACTTGCCCCTGGRGCTAGTAGTTGTAACCTCTGATGGGAGCAGCTGAGGATATTGGGTAGGCATTTGGGGAACCCAGAGGATAAGGAAGTTCTGCAAGGAAGGTACAGAATCAGGTGGGGGCACTGGCTGACTGGGACAGGGACAACTATAGGGATCTGCTAAGCCTCTGATTCTCAGCCATGCCAGGTCCGAACTGGACTTGATTCTGACATCTTGGGGTTGCGCACTCTGGCTAATAGGCTTGCTARAGTGGTTGTGTGGGAATATAGTGCATGAGCTGGATGTGTTCCTTCATTCCTTAATGAATGTTTACTGAGGACCTATTATGAGCCAGGCAGGAATGGGACCCTGGGATATATCAGTAAGCAAGAGAAACAAAAAWGCAGAGAAGACATATAATAAACAATGTAATAAATAAGGAAATTACATAGTGTGTTAGGAAATGACAAGTGTTGTAGGGAAAAAGAGACACTGGCTTGGGGGAGAACTGGTTGCAGGGTGGTCAGGGAGCCTCATTGAGAAGGTAAGACTTGAGCAAAGCTGTGAGAGAGGTGAGGGTGGGTGTGGTCATTGTTGAGGCAGTTGGAACAGCACGTGCAAAGGCCTTGAGGTGGGAGTGTGCCCACGTGCAGAGTAAGTGTACAAGAGGGCTCTGGGAGGGGACTGAGAGAGAGTGGAGTTTGCAGCAGAAGACTGACATGGCTTAGCTTAGATATATCTGATGAGGACCTTGTAGCTGTACAAGGGTGACAGCCAGGATGGCTTAGGAGATGTGTTACTGGGTTCTCAGTGAGCACCATTCCCCCTACCCAGGTATGTGGGGAACAGCAYCGCTTTGAAAAGCTCATGGATTATTTCCGGAACGAGGACAGCAATATCGACTTCATGGTGAGCTTAGGAGGCTGGCTGGGGCCCAGGCCAGGCCCTGTTGGGTTCAGGGAGCGGCTGGGCTCTGGGTTCTGCCCCAGTAAAGCATGAGGGCTGACTGGCCAGTGGGGAAGGAGTGGGTGTTGGGGGAAGAGGGCTAGATTGGGGACATAGAGGTGACAACACTGTGTTAGTGGAGTAAATACTGTGGAGAGGTAGGGAGACTTGGGGATAAATGGAGGTTGAGCACCCCCTACTTAGAGGATCACAGACTTGCTCTCCTGGGCCCCCAGGTGGCCTGCATGCAATTCATCAACATTGTGGTACACTCAGTGGAGAATATGAACTTCCGTGTCTTCTTGCAATATGAGTTCACTCATCTGGGTCTGGACTTGTACTTGGAGGTGAGCACTGCACTCCTTCCCCTTCCCCTGACATAACCATCAACCAACACAGATTTTGGCCAGGTGGTTGGCAGATCTGGGTTCAGATCCTGGCTCTGCTACTTCCTAGTCATGTGATCTTGGATAGATCTGTTCCTCTCTCTGAGTTCCTCTCTCTCAGTTTTCCCATCTGTCAAACAAGAAAATCATAGAAGTAATAATGACTCTAATGTGTAGAACAGTGCCCAACACAGGATAGGCACTCAGTCCAGCAGCTTTTGTGGCAGGCACTGGAATACACTCCAGTGGCCCTGGGTCTGATTCTGGGAGTACCAGCTCAGATAGCCAYTCTCACTCTACGATATAATAGGGAGCCCAAAGATATTAGGCAGGAAGGTCTGGGTCCTGGGAAGGTGGGCAGGGGTCTTGGGGCTTCTTGGTCCAGCCTAAGCAGAGAAACTGCAGCTTCTGCCCAGATTCCCTTTAGAAGGTTGGCTGGAGCAGTAGGGCCTCTGGGATTGGATTTTTGAAAGCCAAGATTGACAAAGGTGAAAAGCAGTCTCAATTCATATATATGTACAGTGGAATATATTCAGCCATAACAAAGAGACATAGTACTGACAGGTTACATGGACAAGCCTTAAAAACATCACCTTAAGTAAATGAAGCTAGACACAAAAGGCTACATATGTGATTCTTTATATGAAATGTCCAGAATGTATAAATCCATAGAAACAGGAAGTAAATGAATGAAAAAAAAAAAAAAGAAAGATAGTAAGTAAATGAATGGTTTCCAGGGGGTAGGGAGGAGGGAATAGGAGTGACTAATGGGGTATAGGATTTTTTTTTTGGGGGGGGGGGRAGTGTGATGAAAATGTTCTGGAATTAGATAGTGATGATGACAACCTTGTGAATGTACTAAAAACTCTTGAAGTATATACTTTCAGATGGTGAATTTTATCGCATGTGAATTATATCTCAATAAAAAAATAAAGAAAAAGGCAGGCTAGGGTTCAGGCCCCTTCCTCTGGGTCCCAGTAATGGTGAATGGTCAGAAAGACCCCCCGAATTAGGCCTCACCCTGCTCATTCCMTCTGGGGACAGAGGCTTCGGCTTACGGAGAGTGACAAGCTGCAGGTGCAGATTCAGGCATATCTGGACAACATTTTTGATGTGGGTACGCTGTTGGAGGACACTGAGACCAAGAATGCTGTGCTGGAGCACATGGAGGAGCTGCAGGAGCAAGTGGCACTGGTGAGAGCCGGTCCTGAACCCAGCCCAGCACATAATAAGCCCTCTGAACACTTATCTGTCTCAGGGTCCTAGGGCCTGAAGGCATAATAAGGTACTGAAGGGCAAGCACTTGTTCTGGATGTGAATTGGAGGTGGCTGTCCGTCTAGCCCCTGAGTTTGGCCTGAATCCAATTCCTGAGTCCTTTGGGTGTCTTTCTCAATGAGTATTCAGCGAGCTCCTGCACTGTGTGGGATTTATGTGAAAGGCAGGCGCCACCTCCACAGATGCTCAGACCCCAAGCTTTGACTTGGAGGAACTGGGTGCCCGGGGTCCCTCCTAGCTCAGTCTCCTCCTTCCCACCCATCTTTCTCATCGGTGGTGCCTTAGTTTCCCCTCCTCTTACTGAGGTTCAAGTACCAGGCTCGGCCCACCCTTGGCACGCGGGGCTGAGCGGATCTGGGAGCCTCCCCCAGCTCCAGGCAGGCTTGCCTGATGCCGCCCCCTCACCGGCGGTGCCAGTGCTGCCTGGCCGCGGGTGGTAGCTCACCATGTGCCGGTGCTCCAGCTGACAGAGCGGCTTCGGGACGCAGAGAACGACTCCATGGCCAAGATTGCTGAACTGGAAAAGCAGCTAAGCCAGGCCCGCAAGGAACTGGAGACCCTGCGGGTGAGGCTGGGGTTTGGACTGGGGTGGGCTCCTAAGAATAGGCTGGCTGGGGTTTCTGGGCTTGACAGCTTCTCCCTAACCCTGGGAAAGGATGGGGACTTTGTGCCACGGAGCCTGGAGCCTGCCGGTGGGCACTGATTCCTTCCCTGGGGCTTGCAGGAACGCTTCAGCGAGTCAACCCCCATGGGCATCTCCAGACGTCCCCCGGAGCCTGAGAAAGTGCCTCCTCCCGCCCCGGCACGGCCCTCCGCCCTGGAGCTGAAGGTCGAGGAGCTGGAGGAAAAGGGGTTAATCCGAATCCTGCGGGGGCCCGGGGATGCCGTCTCCATTGAGATCGTCCCAGTCACTGTGGCAACCCCAAGCGGCAGTGATGCTCCTACTCCGGGGTTGCCCAGCTGCTCCCCCAGCCCAGGTGCGCGGGAGCTTCAAGCTGGGGTGGGGTGCGGTGGGGGCGGGGGACCAGGGCCTGGAAGGGGAACCTGGGGCCAGGTCTGKCACTCAAGAGTCAGCTGAGGGCGGTCTGGGTTGTGGGTGTGGCTCAGATAGGCGCAGGTAAGTCGCAGGGCAGGGAGGCGGACCTGAGACCACCTAAGCCACGAAGTTGACTCGCTCCTCCCCCGCCCCGCCCTCGCTGGCTTCAGATCTCCCACCTGCAGCAGAGCTGGCTCCTGGAGCAGCACCGCCCGCGCCACCACCCCCACCGCCTGGCCTCCAGTTCCAACAGGAAGCCCCTCCCTCGACGCCCCCACCGGCCCCGCCCCTCCCGGGTAGCCCAGAGCCCCCTCCCGCACCACCGTTGCCAGGAGACTTACCGCCCCCACCCCCACCGCCTCCGCCGCCACCTCTCGGCACTGACGGACCAGTGCCACCGCCGCCCCCACCGCCGCCCGGAGGTCCCCCTGATGCCCTTGGAGGGCCTGGCCCAGAGACGAGCTTAGGTGAGTGGAGTGGACCCCTCGAGCCCAGGGCTTGGGGGAGATGAGTAGAGCCCCAGCCTCAGTGTCCTCCAGGACCCTCTGTCCAGGGGTTTCCTACTGCCTCCTGCTGCCCTGTCAGGCCTTGCTGGGCTGGTTGCCTCTAGCGCCCCCAGTGCTCACCACTCCCTCCCGGCCCCAGGAGTGAAGGCCAAGAAACCCATCCAGACCAAGTTCCGGATGCCACTCTTGAACTGGGTGGCCCTGAAACCCAGCCAGATTACAGGCACCGTGTTCACAGAGCTCAACGATGAGAAAGTGCTACAAGTGAGTGCACCTGTCTTGCTCCTAGTGTGGGCATCGAAGAGGTGGGGGCTTGCCAGGATCATGGGGGTGGTCATCTCCACCCAGTTTTACAGAAGAAGTGGAGATGGGCAGAGCATTAAGCTACACTGCCTTGGTGCATTGGTCTAGTAGGCAGTGGTATACTGACCTCCCTGGAGTCTTTACCTTCCTTTCCTATAGAGGGGCATATCCCTCTCCTTTCAGGCCCTTTTCCTACCACTTCCTCACAACCAGGACCTTAGCCCTCTTGATTCCACTTTCGGTTTTCCAAAAGGGATGTGTTCCATTGCTTCTGAGCCATTGATCATTCTGTTCCCTTTGCCCTTCCCTTTTCCCTGATGACCAGTTCACTCCTTTCTTAATGGCCCAAGGCTGGGTCTTCTAGGCTGGGTGGTTCTCTTCTTCCTCAGTGTTCCTTGTGCTTCTCCTGTATCAGGGCCTATGTTCTATTTGGGTTATTGATTTGTCTCTCTGCTGATGGCCTATCAGGGTTGAACCAGTGGTTCTATCCTTGAACACAGTGCTCACCCAGAGTGTGCCAGACCTTGGCCCCAACCAGCCCCACCTTCTCCCCCTGTACCCTAGGAGCTGGACATGAGTGACTTTGAGGAACAGTTCAAGACTAAGTCTCAAGCCCCCAGTGTGGACATCAGTGCTCTCAAGGGCAAGGCAGCTCACAAGGCCCCCAGTAAAGTAACACTCATCGAGGCCAACCGGGCCAAAAACCTGGCCATCACTCTGCGCAAGGGCAATCTGGGGGCCGACCGCATCTGCCAGGCTATTGAGACGTGAGTACCCTGCTCTGGGCTTTTGGCAGCTCAGCCCCTCTTCTAGGCTGGGATCTTCAGGCAGAGCCTAGTAAGAGCCTCAGCTGGGGGACAGAGCCTATAAGCTTCATTGGAACCATGGACAGGGAACTGTATTTCCATTTTTAGGTTAAGAAAACTGAGTCCAGGCCTAGATTGGGACATCCCACTCCCTTCTTGCCTCTTTGGCAGAGAGGTTTATAGTAGGGCATCTGCCATTGATGAATGATGGGGACCTGGGCTCCCAAACTCCCATTTTCTCGAAACTCCTACTTCTTGTTCTCTGAAGCTGTCAGCAAATAGTAAATATTTAAGTTCATTTATTCAACCAAAGGAGGGAATGTAGTCTTGTTCTCTGGGCTGGTGGATATGGGGTTTAAACGGCTGGCTCCTCTGCTCACCCATCAGGTATGACCTGCAGGCTCTCGGCCTGGACTTCTTGGAGCTTTTGACCCGCTTTCTGCCCACGGAGTATGAGCGCAGCCTCATTGCCCGCTTTGAGCGGGAGCAGCGTCCCTTGGAGGAGCTGTCGGAAGAGGACCGCTTCATGCTACGCTTCAGCCGCATCCCACGCCTGCCGGAGCGCATGTCCACGCTCACCTTCCTGGGCAACTTCCCGGATACGGCCCAGCTGCTCATGCCGGTGTGGGCGGGGCGGGCAGGGCAGTGTGGCCTGGGCTTYGGGTGGGGGGAGGCATCTTTCAGCCCAGGCTTCATCTGGGAGACCTGAGCCTCTTGATGAGGGTGCCTCCAACTTACCTCCCCTGTCTCACCTCCAGCAACTGAATGCCATCATTGCAGCCTCAATGTCCATCAAGTCCTCTGACAAACTCCGGCAGATCCTAGAGGTGAGACCCCTGGGCAAGGGGCCCAGAGGCTGGGCCCATCCTGGCCTCTTCTAAGTAGTGTGAGAAGGCCCCACCTACATAGTGTACAACAAAGATAATGTTCCCACTTCTCATGTACATGCTTTGAAAGACAAAACTAGATCTGGGTGAGGATTGGTGACAGCAGCCATGCCTTTAACAGGGTATCTGAGACCCTGCCAGAGGGGTCAGCCCCTCTGGGTATTGCTGTGTGAGCAGCAGTGGACCATCCCAGGAGGGGACCAGTAGTAATGGTTGGCAAAAGGGTGACAACCCCTAGGAGGGGAAAGTGGCTGCCAATTTTGGGTTGGACCAGCAGAGGGCAAAATTGGATATGTTCATGGGTTAACCATGCACACATGTGAAACGTGCATACACACAAGTACGTAACGTGTGTCATGGAGAGAGAGTTCCATTCAGAAGTGTGGTAGCCTGTGTGTGTGCAGGCTCACTTTCGTCACCTTTTTTCTTGTGTAATGTTTACTTAAGGGGCTTCCCCAGCCCTGGTACCCTATTGAGTCTCTTCCCCTGCCTCTCCCAGATCGTCCTGGCCTTTGGCAACTACATGAACAGCAGCAAGCGTGGGGCAGCCTACGGTTTCCGGCTCCAGAGTCTGGATGTGGTGAGGTGGGGGGCCTGGCATGGGGGCTGGGGGCTGGCTGGTGGCCTGTGGCTTACAACAGGTCTTTGCTCAGCTGTTGGAGATGAAGTCGACTGACCGAAAGCAGACACTGCTGCACTACCTGGTGAAGGTCATTGCTGAGAAGTACCCACAGCTCACAGGCTTCCACAGTGACTTGCACTTCCTGGACAAGGCAGGCTCAGGTATAGAGCAGCCAGGGCCCTGAGCAGGCAAGAGTTCAGACCGGAGGCCACTGGGAAGCAAGGGGACTGCAAGATGTAACTGGGTGGGAGTGCTGCCTCTCAGATTCCTTGAGTTCACGCTGCCCCTCCTTCCACCTAGTGTCCCTGGACAGTGTCCTGGGGGATGTGCGCTCCCTGCAGCGAGGCCTGGAGTTGACACAGAGGGAGTTTGTGCGGCAGGATGACTGCTTGGTGCTTAAGGAGTTCCTCAGGGCCAACTCTCCCACCATGGACAAGCTACTGGCAGACAGCAAGACTGCTCAGGTGGGCTGGGGATGGCCTGGTCTGGAGCTAGGGAAGCTGGGTTGGGGAAATGAAGGAGTCCTTGCCATTGGATTACTAGGTGGGGGTGTATAGCCCAGGTCTGGAGGGGTGTGGTCACAGCTGGGACCCTTTGGGGATGAAGCAGAAGTGAAGGGCCACCTGCCTGGAGGAGCAGATGAAGTGGCCAATATCCTGAGGAGGTACAGAGCGGCATCAGGCTCTGAGGAGCCCATGCTAACAGGGCTGATGGGTTGTGCCAACAGGAGGCCTATGAGTCTGTGGTGGAGTACTTCGGAGAAAACCCCAAGACCACATCCCCCTCCATGTTCTTTTCCCTCTTCAGCCGTTTCATCAAGGCGTACAAGGTACATATGTGTGGTGGGTGGGCTGGGAGCCTTGAAGCCTTTCTGCATGGGCAATGGGAAGGGCAGAGGCTGCTTCTCTCTTGGGTGGGACAGGGTAGGAGTAAGGACTGCCCTCACTGAGAATTGCCTTTGTCCCTCAGAAAGCTGAGCAAGAGGTGGAACAATGGAAGAAGGAAGCAGCTGCCCAGGAGGCAGGTGCCGACACCCCAGGCAGGGGGGAACCCCCAGCACCTAAGGTATGCAGCTGCTGCTGAGCCTGGTTCTGGGATGCAGGGATGCAAGGTATCCTCACACTCTCTGGCCCCATTCCCATCCCCATTGTTAGGGACAGACCCTTTTCAAAGACAGTGCCCTAGGAGTCAGGGATGGGAGTGGGTTCCTTTTGTTCCAGTCACCTGTCCTTGCTGTGAGGCTCTAGAATTGAGTGGGGTAGAGGGATCCTGGAATTGGAGCTATATATGCATCTCCTTCAGTCKCCACCCAAAGCCCGGAGACAACAGATGGACCTCATATCTGAGCTGAAACGGAAGCAGCAGAAGGAGCCACTCATCTATGAGAGTGACCGTGATGGGGCCATTGAAGACATTATCACAGGTGAGGGCTTGGCCAGGCACCTGTTCTGTCCTTCTAAGCTGTTCTTTGTCTGGACCCGGACCAGGGGTCTGGCTGCCTTACTGCCTCTTGCTACCTTTTCTGTTTTTCTTTCCTTTTTCCTTTCTCTACCCGCTACCCCTTCACCCTCAGTGCTCAAGACAGTGCCCTTCACCGCCCGCACTGGCAAGCGGACATCCCGGCTCCTCTGTGAGGCCAGCCTGGGAGAGGAGATGCCCCTCTAGCCCCCAGGTACCTGTCACATCGCTGCTGACAGCTCTGGGACCCTTCTGTGCTAGTGCATGGCTGGAATGTATTGCAGGGCAGATGGGAGGTCTGGCAAATGTAAAGAGTGCCCCTTCCCCTAAACACACAACCTGGGTTCTCAGAAGGCTGAGCATGTACCCTGGAGCTTGGTCCCAGCTCTGGGCAGACTCCTGAAGGGCTWACTATCTCCTTTGGTTGCCAGATCTACGGAACCAGCCCTACATCCGCGCAGACACAGGCCGTCGCAGTGGTCGTAGGCGCCCTCCAGGACCCCCCCTGCAGGTCACCTCTGACCTTTCGCTGTAGCCTATTTTGGCAGGTGGATTCTGTAGGGGGTGCGATTGTGGACAGGCTGGGGCTCAAGGAAGGTGGGCCTCTGGGCAGCCCCTCCTCCTGCTGCCTGGCACCTTGGCCATCCTTAAAGGGGCCAGCACAGCCTCCTCCTGTTGGAGGCAGAATCGCCTGGTCTCAATCCTCAAATGCTGCTTGCAGCACCCCTCCCCCAATAGCCATACTTAGCCTGAGCGGGAGCCTGGCCTGTAACTTATAAAGTGCACCTTGCCCTCCCCCATGAACTCCCACCCCCAAAGACTCTCCTTGGACCATATTTTTATACAAGATTAATAAAGATGTTTGCAAAAAATCAGTGTCCGTTCGGTGCCCACTCCCATTTCACAGAGCCGGTTTCGCTCAGCAAACGCTTTACTTGTACAAGCTCTTCACAGCTTGTTTCTGCAAAGAGGCTGGTGAAGGGGAGAAGGGTTGCTTCTGCACTAGAGTCGCAGGGGACAGAGCCCGCTTTGAGAGGCCTATTTGCTCCAGCGACTCGTCCACGTACCCTGCGGGAGGGCGGAGGGAGCACGTGGAGGGTGTAGCCGGCAGTTCGGAGATGTGGAGGGTGTAGCCAGCAGCTCGGAGATGCGGAGACTCGCCGGATTAGCACCTCCTAGGTCCGCCTTGCTGCTGCCCCCCACTTCCGCTGGGGCCTCCTACCTGGATACCTCGCCCCCTTTTCCTTTGCCGGTCCTACTTTAGTCACGCCTCCCTCTGCGCCTGCGCCTAGTCCGTCCCCGTTTCTTTCGGTGTGCTCCCACTCTTCGCCTGCCGCCCGCCAGTCCCGCCGCCGCCGCATCTGCTTTCCCGCCTCCGCCCCATCTGCCCTGTCCTGATTCTCCCCGGCCCGCCCGCCCTTCTCCGGCGGAGCCCCTGGTCTGCATCGCCAGCCCAGCGCGCCTGCTCTCACCTGGGCTGAGCGGTCCCAGGTTGGGCAGGAGCTTGGAGCGGCCGGGCTGGTGGGGCTTGGGAAGGCGGATGTCGGGGGGGCCGGGGATTCGGCTCCGCGTCCTGCATTCTGGCCGCATCCGCCCGGCCAGTTTGGGTATCTGAGAGTAGGGGTTGCGCGCACCTGGGGCAGGCGCCCGGCAGGAGAAGGAGGAGGGGATAGTGGTGCCGGGAGTGGGTTCTCGGAGGCCAGAGGTGGTGGAGGGGACTGTGTGTGACCGGAAGAGTCCCCTCTCCAGTGGCCCCCAGCCCCGCGCCTCTGGCCCCGGGCCTCTACCCACTGAGCGCGCACTCGGTTTGCACAGTGTGTGCAGCGAGCGCGCTAGCTCCGTGTTGGAGAGGCCGCTGACGCGCGCCGCCTGACAGAAGAAGTTGAGGCCAGCGTGGGCGCGCGACGACCGGCCCTGGCCGCGGGCCCGACCCCTACAGCCCGGGCTCAACTGCAAAGCCCTCTGCTTCTTGACGTAGTAGCTTGAAGGAGAGAAGTGGGGTATCCGTTTTAGACAATGCCTCCTTCGTCCCCTCCATCTCACAGGCTCCTAAACTCAAGGAGAACAGTAAGCCACTTGTCTTTGTCTGGGGTGGCTTGGGGCCCAGGAAAAGGACCCAGAGTTCAGGGCTCCTATCTTTGGGGCTTGGGATCTAGGGACGGTTGTGCCCACCTCATCACCTCCTGTGCGGACTTGGAGGGCACAAAGCCCTGGCTAAGCAGCTTGAACAGGATCTCTATGAACAGGGTCTTTAGGCTCTTGGGGTCACAGACCCGACGGTTTCTCACTTGCCCTGGGGACAGCAAAAATGAGTGTGAGGAGAGGCCTCCTCCCCAGGTCAGGCCCACTCCTGCCACACCAGTCTTGTGCTCACGCATGCATTGAGCCACGTAATGGTTGTCAGTGAGGACACCCAGGAAGTCTTTGAAGCTTACGATTCCATCACCTGGAAAGAGAGAGAGGAGGATGCAATGGGTGCCTGCCCCTGCAGAAGGCTTGCCCTGTATACACAGACTCAGGGTTCCCATGTGTGTGGTTCACCTTGCTGTCTGCCTCTCCCTGCCTGCCCTTCCAGGATATTTCAGATTGTTCATCTGCAGCCCAAAAGGTACACACATAGCATGAAAGTTGCCCTGGGCAATGTGGATATCCAACTGGGTCCACAGAGAAGCTAAAGGTAGACCCTAATTTGAGTAGGGGAGAAATAGCCCTTGAGTTGGGGCAGCCACATGTCAGGATAAGAATTAAATCAGCAGCAATGTTTAAAGGCCATGGGATAATGATGAGGAGGACTCTTTTCCCAGGAGAGGGAACTTTAAAGTACAACTAGGGAGGAATGTTGTGGACAGGGCTAGCATTCATCAGGAGACTACCTGGAGGTGGGAGAGTGCAAGAGGGCAGAGATGGGACACCCACCATCCAAGTCTGCCAGCCGAAGAGCCTCACACATCTCCTGAGGGCCCAGTTGGATACCCACATTGCGCAGGGCAATTTTCATGCTGTGCATGTCCACGGTGCCTGTTGGGCTGCAGCTGAACAGTTTGAAGATATCCTGGAAGGCTGAGGGTAGAGGGGAGCAGGCAGCAAGGTGAACAGCACACATAGGAACCCCGAGCCCTAAGATCTGCCTATTGCAGCTAAGGTGGAACATCTGATGCCTTAGGTTACCTCAGCCCCCTGGACATATATAACTTTTAATACAAATAACAGTAGTGGCAGCTTTGTATTGGCACTTTAGTGCCCATTCAGTCTTAAAATTCAAACATGAGTCTTGGACATGTTTATATGAAAAGCATTCAAAACTCATGTTCAAGGTCATACCTGGTAGTCTGACTAACTATGATGCCCTGGAACCCTGCTGGGGCCTGGCATATAGGAGGCACTGAAAAGTGTTGATGTAGAAAATTATTCTGCTCTGAAAGGCCCCTGCCAACACCAGGATATATCTTTGAGGAACACTGGGGAAGTGATTCTTTCTACTCTTGCACTCCCCACCCATAGCCTAGATCCTAGGCAACAGGGGAACTCATTCTTTTTTTCACCCTGTCTCCTTCTTTCCCTCTTCCCTTCTTCCTTTCTATCTTGCCTATCTGTCCATTTGTTCAGCCAATCTATCYATCCAAATACCATCATTTGCCTATCCAACACTCCATCCAGTTTCCTTTCTACGCATGTGTGCGCGCGCACACACACACACACACACACCAGGCACATCAGTGAATTTCAGTTTGTAGAGATGAACAAATTTATATTGGCATGGAGGGAAGGTTGTAAATACTGGCTTCTTGCAAGGTTTATAGATACTGACTCCAGCTTCAGGGCGGAAAACCTCTCATAGTTCTGCCCTGAGCACCCCCTAATTTCCCTCCCCACTCCCAGCCTAGGACTCTCACCTGTCAGCTGCCGGGGTGTCAGGGGCAGGAGATTCTCGTCTGTCATGCTGCCCCAGGGGGAAGAGGTTGGTCAGGTCTTGGCACCTGCTGCAGAGAGATGCCAGGGCCAGGCAGGCCTTGCCCAAACCCAGTGCCCCCTGTCTGGCTTCCCCACCCTCACCTCTGAGATCTGGCATCTGCTCCTGACCAAGCTGGGTGGGCAGCCACAGGGCTCTTGAATTCTTTTGCCCTCTGTGTAGTCTGCTCAGTCTTTGTGGCTATGGCTTCTGGTGGCTCTGTCTGGGTCATTTGGGCAGTGTGCAGCTGACACCTCCCTTTCTGCACCCTGCTGGACTGCTCCTCACCTCGATCTTGTGTGAGCAGCCTTCGAGGCTTCTGTGGAGGCCTTAGAGGCATGGAGAAGACAAGGCAGAGGGGCTCAGGCCACTGGAATGTTGACTCCAGAGGATCTGGGACCAGGCCTGTGGGTGTGTGCAGGTCTTCCTCCTCCCATGAGGTATCCATAACCCTCCCTCCAAGAGGTTCTGAGGGCAGGGCTATGGCAGTGATACTCCCCCCACCACCTCTGGTGAGGGAGGAGGACCCTCCTCCAACCCTGATCACCTGTACCTTTTCTGTGTGGGTGGGGATCTCTTGGTCTTCTGCCTTCTTCTGCCTGAAAGGCAGAGTCACAGGCTCTGAGGCTGCTCCAGTGCCCCAAACCTATAGCCCCCAGGCTGCCTTTGTGGTGGATTTTGTCTTTGGCGGGAGATACAYTCTCTCTCTCACCAGAGATCTGCTTCTCCCTGTTGATCACCTGCTGCTTTATTCTTCTGAGTTTTTGCCTCCCTTAAGACACCCGAACTTGTGACTCCACTCTGGATATTAAGTCAGAATGACAGAGGCCCAGAGAAGTAGGTCCCAGGGGCCCAAAGCCAAGAACTGAGAGGGTGAGGGTCCAGCCCAATATAGAGCTGTTTGCCATATTAAAAAAAATTCCATGAAACCTAAATAAATTTAAAAGAATAAGAATTATATAATGTCTGCTCTTGGGTCATAATGGAATTAAAATAGAAATCAATAATACAAAGATAGCTGGGGGGCCAGGCATGGTGGTACGTGCTGGTGATCCCAGATCCAGCTATTCAGGAGGCTGGGGCAGGACTACAAATTTGAGGACAGCCTGGGCATCTTTTTTTTTTTTTAATATTTATTTTTTAGTGGACACAATATCTTTTTTTTTTCATGTTCTCAAAAATCTTTAAYGACAGAGTTCATGTATAAATAGACGAGTTGGGTGGAAACCATCTGTAACACAAAGCACAATTTCGTAAGCGCACACAGACGTGACACAGCAGCCTCTTGGGATCCAGGGTGCTACCTATGAGAAGGGGTTCCGCATCATCCTCCACAGGTGTAAATGGAGGCAAGATGGGCAAGCAGTGAGTGGACACAATATCTTTATTTTTCATTTATGTGGCGCTGAGGATCAAACCCAGTGCCTCATGCATGCTAGGTGAGCACTCTACCACTGAGCCACACCCCCAAACCCATGGACATCTTAAAAAAAAAAAAAAAAGGCTGGAGTTGCAGCTGGTTGAAAACTTGGCTACCCTGCAGGGGTCCTGGGTTCATCCTCTAGTACTGGGAAGTGAGGGGAAGATAACTGGGAGATCCCCAACTTAGTGATTAAATAACACACTTCTAATTAATACACAGGTCAAACAAAAATCTCAAGAGAGGTTAAACATATTTGAAACTAAATGAAAATAAAAATACAGTTCATTCAAAATTTGTGGGCTAYAGCAAAAGCAATGCTAAGAGGGAAGTTTATAGAATTAAAATGAATATTTTAGAAAAGGAGGAATATCTAAAATCAATAAGCATCTATCTTAAGAAACTAGAAAAAGAAGAACAAATTAAATCCAAGATAAGTAAAGATAATACAAATTGAAAACAGGAAATCGTTACAGAAGATCACCTAAATCAAAAGCTGGTTCTTTGAAAAGATCAGTAAGATCAATTCGGCTCCAGCCAGGGAACAGAAAGAAGAGGGAGGGAGGGAGGGAGGGAGGGAGAGAGAAATGATGCAAATTATTAATAGTAGAATGAAAGAGAGAACATCATTCTAGATATAATGGAAATTCAAAGGATTAAAAAAGGAATATTATGGATGACTCTATGCCTCTACATTTGATAATCTAGATGAAATGGACAATTCATTGAAAAACGCAATCTGCCAAAAATAACACATGGAGAAATAGAATATATCTATTAAAGAAGATGAATCAATAATTAACAACCTTCCGGTCTGAGGACGTACCTCAGTGGTAGAGTGCTTGCCTGGCATGCATGAGTCACTAGGTTTGATCTTTAGCACCACATAAAAATAAACAAATAA